TTGGGCCGCAGGCCATGATTGGTGGTGTTGCTGTCGGTGCACTCGCTGCCGTTAGCTATCTTGTGTATCGAAACCGTGGGAGGATTCCTCTCCTTGCTTGAGTGTTTTGCAAGTGTATTGGCAATAACGTGACGATGTGGTGTGGACTGGTTTGTCACTTCATAGCTTTCGATTCAATATTAAGTATCAATTCATTCCTACTCCCGCTAACTGTTCAAATTTTTTGAGTCCTCCAACAAACATTACTTTTTCTTCAAACCAACTCGTCAAGCATACTCTCCAGATAAGCCCTCTGCTCAGTCAGATACTCTCTCATGGCATCAATATCAAACTCTCGTCCGAATCGCTCGCGCTCGCGGATCTTCTTGAGAGCCGCATCCGAGCGGTCGCGGATGACCTCGAGCCGGTATTGGCTGTACTGGAAGTACATCATCGAACGGTGAGTGATGGGGCGGGATCCGGTCAGGATGGTTTCGTCGCGGATGAGGGGGTTCTTGGGGCGGAACGAGGTGACCATGGCGATGCGTTCGGGAACGCCGGAGGCTGCGAGAGCGGCATGCTCGATGTATCGACCCTGCATGACGACGGCGGTTCCCTAAATAGGTAAGCAGCGTACAAAAAATGCGTTTCCTCGAGGAGTGGCAACTTACCATCGCGGGGCCCCGGACCTTCATGACATCGCCATTGCCGGTGCGCATGGCCGTCTCCCCACCCGTCATGCCGGTGCAATCTGAGAGCATGGTGACGCAGACGAATGGGTAACTGTCGTAGTGCCAAGAGAAAGCAGACTTGCCGGGAGTTGCTTCCTCGCCCTTGTTGATCCACACATTGACATGTCCAGTCTCGAAGTCGAGGGCAGGGACGAGCTCAACGCCGGCAATCTTTGAGATGTGAGCTAGAACCTCGGGACTGTTCCATGCATCGAAGATAAATGGGCCAAGTCTACAACAAAGGACCGTTAGTGTGGGGGAACGGAGGGGGGCGCAGGTTGGGTGCCTGGAAGCTTACCTTGGGCCATAGCATCTGATCATGTTGGTGGCAAAGGTAGAAGCGTATTGGCAGTTCGCTAGGACAGAAGGGCTGAAAATCTCGGCTCTCATTTGCTTAATGGCCGCCGGGGAGAAAAGAGAAAAGGGTTCCGAAGCGGCTGTGTTGGAGATACCCTGTCCCTCAAGGCCAATCTCCCTCATGGTGTACAGTCTGCCTGGATCTTCAAGCTGGAGGTGCTTGGTGGCATTAAACTGGACAGGTTCATACCTGAGACCTTCTTGAACGATGTACTGAGGGAGTTGCTCGGTAGGTTGTGTAGGACCCTTGGTGGTAGGGCCAACAACCTTGGGAGGGGTTCTGGGAATGGAAACTGCTGCAGCGGCCATGGCGAAGTTATCAAACCGAAGCTGGGGTTAATCTTAGATAAGAGTCAGAGTGTAGCTGTGTTATCGCTGGTGGGCTTATGCTGCTGGGAGACTTTCATGAGAGAGGAGCTTCTCGCTCCCTTCTTATAATCGAAAGATCGTTTCTGGTTCATACTGTGAACGAGACAATGGACAACATTGCTTTTGCCTGATGCCTAACTACAATCACCTGGGGTCAGATGAGCTGCTGGTCCATTGTGACTCCATGGGGACGCTTGATACACTTGCAAAGATTGATCCGGAAGATAGACTAACTTTTCATGGAAATTCTCATGAGAGTAGGCTAATTAGCCAATCACGATAGACACGAACCGGCGCGGGAATGCACCCGAAGGCGATGTATTACTGATAAGCCCCTCCTCCCCCCCTTTTCGGGGCTTCCACGACTAGACTATTTCCAGTAACGAAACAGCAGGTCTTGCATCCCACCCTCAATCATTCCGGGGAGTCCTCACACAACACTCGCATATCGATATATCATATTGTGGTGTGCAAACCAGCCAGGGGAGCCAATTATCATGTTGCTCGGTTCTTCATTCGTCGTGTCCTATGCTTCCTGGGATCTTTTAACTCCATTGAGGCGAGGGGTGCGAGTGTATTGGCTGCACATGACGATCTAAGATAGCCCTCCCGATGGACGGACACGTTTGAATAGAAGGAACCTGCATCGAGGTCACGAGGAGTAGCTGTGTGGGGTCTAGACTCTCTGGAAGCTGGACCATACCCAGATAACACACTTTCGTGTGCATGATTGACAACCAGGCACATTGCAGCCTATATCTTTTTGTCTCCTACGGGAGCCAATACCAATACTAACTGTGCGTGCGAGAAGACCATCAGGACGGGAAGTGATCCAAGGCTGGGCTATGCTACCGCTATGAGAGAACTTCACTGGTAGAGATAGCCTTACGAGCGCTCGTTGGTGTAGGAAAATCACTTTTGTGCTGGGATGGTGCCAGCGTGAGTGGGCGACGGCGAGTCATGTTACCCATCGCTTGGCATTATTGCTTGCGTGGATGTGTGCCCAACGGTCGAGGTGCGCATGCATCCACGCATAGATACATGAAATTGATTGCTCTTCTCAATTTGGAAAAGACCTCGCATTTCTTGCACTTGCAGCTGGTCAGTTGCTTATCCTGAGTGACTACGCGTTGGAACGTTGGTTATCTTACATGCACCTTCGGTCGAGACCATTCTTGTTTTGGCGGCCTCAATGAGAGCACATCCGGGATATTACCCAGGAGAAAAAGGTAGGGAATCTTCCTAATTATGAGCCCTCGTGACCACGTTTCAGGCCTGTGTTTGTACAAGAATAACCCCAAGCCAATACAACTCTCACTTCCCACATCGGCCCATTTTACGTAAGAATTAAACCTTCGCTCCCGCTTTGTTCGAGAAGGTGAAAACTGATCTGTAACTTAGGGCTATCGAGTATATCATAATGGAAACAAAAAACACGCCAAGGCTATCGGGTATCATCTTCGACCTTTGACTCCCTGCTTTACCTGCAAAATGCCAGCTCATCGTTTGTGAGTGGTAAGCTGTTCAAACACTCTCATTCTCTCCGCTTGAAGCCTTCTTCGCCTTACTTCAAGCTCCTTCTCTGCTTCGGTGAGCTGTAGCTGAACAGCCTTCTTCCTTTCCTGTGCCATCTTGAGCTTCTGTCCTAGTTTCCACTCGAAACTTTCCATTTCTCGCTGGCCCCTCTTGATCTCCTCATGGAACTCCATATCACTGAAGATATTGTCCATAAGGATATCGTGCATCACGTGCCCCTGGTTGATGTTGACACTCGGCAGGTCGTCGTACCGGGCAAGCTGTGCCAAGTGCCTGGCCTCACGATAGGCCATCTCGGCCTGGCCTAGAGCACTACGCTCGACCATGTCGGCCATGTTGTTACCCATTATATCCATTCGAGAAGCCGTCCTCGCCGAAACCATCAGGTCTGCAGCGTGCTTGGCCTTCCTCGTCGCCTCGGTCATTAACTTGACACTCTGAGCTTCCTGCTCATGTCGTATGCGGACGTCGTGATAGCGCTGCAGCGCCACCTCGCTTTCCCTCTCGAGCGCATCTTCCGTGGGGAAGTGTGGCGTTTCGCCTCCGAAGATGGTGTTATACAAACTGTCAAGCTCCTGCTGGGCGGCGTGGTGGATTTTTGCTTGAGGCTCCAGCTGGGCCACCGCTGCTCTGGCACCCTGAAGCTGCTGCTTCAAGCTCTCGTTCAAGACGGTTGTTTCGTGATGGCGCCGAAGAAGGTCGAAGTACTCCTTTTCTTCTTTTGATGCCTGCGCGGCAAACTTGTCCTTGTTGCCTGTTGCCTTGTATAGAAACCGACGAAAGTTGCTGTCGCGGTATCTTACATGGTCCTTCAGCTCTGCCTCGCGTTGGTCATCGAGATGTCTGAGGGTCACATAGTTTTTGTTAAGCTCTCTGTCGAGATTGTGAATCAGCCGGAGCTGCTCGTTGAGGGTGGGGACAGCGTAGTCGGTCTCAGCGAGGATCTGGAGGAGCTCTGTATTGCGGCTCGAGGCTTGCTGGACCTGCTTCTCCAATGTTGACATGCTGTGATGTGGTTTTGTATAACTTGACCGGGGTGAGGGAGATGGATGAAGTCTAGTAGGCGATATGATGTATACGTGAGAGAAAGAGAATCAAGTTCAACAGCAATGGAAGCTGCCAGAGCCCGACAACTCAACACAATGAATACGGGATATGATGTATACGGAATGCGAAATAGGAACAACACATTCAGCGATGCATGTTCGGTCTTGTATATATATGAGCCATCCACCTAAAAGAGGTAATCTCCATGGGTACATTGGTAAGGTTATTTATTCGAAACGATCCACCCTGATCCGCCGTCCTTATTAAGGTTGATTATTGGCCGCCGCCGTCTGTGCTTGGGACTTTGGCATGGCAGTGTTGCACCGCCACCATTATTTTGGGCACTCTAAGCCTCGCCACACTATTCCTGCTTGGGTCTCTCAAATTAAATTAACTTGGGCAGCAGACTGAGAATTTGATCTTCAATCTTCCGCTACGGAGTACCTGTCACTGGTTTGACGTAGCGTATGAGTTGGAAATGCTCTGGGGTTAGTTCGAGTATACCCCCAGGAGAAGGATTATGCGTGGAGTAGCTTGATCAGCTATAATGCCGATGTTTCAACGAGTGGTAACCTCTAAATTCTGTCATTCGAGGTGTGGCGTAGGTTTATTGATAGGGCTGGACGTCGGAATGCCTCGGTGTAGAAGCTCATCGCTTCAAGCAAATTATGCCTGAACAAGGAGGAATAACTTAGGTATTTGAACGAACCATTGGTGAGAACCTAGGCAATCCATCTGATTGTGGCCCACTGAAGCATTCAGCCTCAGTAATCAATGCGAGTTAGCCTGAGCAGCTCGCAACGAGCTTATTACAGCTGATGGAACAGGGTCTCTGCAGGGTGTCTCTGGAAATGAGAAGTAGGTATATATCTCAGACAAGACCCAATTCTGTGTTAATTTTGGGCTTTCACTCTCTCACGACCAAAGCAAACTTGGACATCACACGCAACCGATTCGATCCTCACAATCCAAACCGACAGAATGCCCGAATCAACTGGCACAGTCAAGCTGGACGCATATGGCAGCAACGGATACAGGGCGCCAGACCACTGCGAGACCTGCGACGTTTCGGTGCCTGACCAAGAAGCGCGTCGCAAGCACATGGAGGAAACCTCGCATCGCAGGTGCCCGCTCTGCAAGGGTTATGTCCCTCTGGGAGGCTTTTACACACACGCATTCATCAAGCACGGAGATGAATATTGGAACGAGCACCAGGTTGCCTTCACCGATAGGCAGGACTTGAAAAATGCGAAGTCTTGGGCGGTGCCGAAACAGTCAAAAGATGAAGAGTAATTGTCGGGGTGATAATGGAAGGCTGGGCAGCACTAATGTACGAAGTTAATGATGCTGATTTTTTATCATTTGGTTGATGAATTAGTTATATGGAGAGAACATCGAGAGAGAATTGAATTTTAAGAGAGCGCATTATCAATTTAGTCGACATTTTGGGCTTGCATGGATCCGAGGAACTTGAACATTTCAGCTAATGAATATTGCAGACTTTGACTACCTTGTCCACCGAGAAACAAGTTTCCTACTCAATTGTGAATACCCTTCCATCATGCGGGTATGTTTTGGATGCCAAACCAAAAGATTGCGCAGCTTAGCCAAGTGTCAACGGGTGTCTCTCGAAGTAGTCATCGAGAGTTGTGAGCTTGCCTCTAGCTTTGCCTGCCGCCCAGGAGACCAGCTTCTCCGTTTCAGGCCCAAAGTAGCCCCCGTAATCCTGCATAAATAAGAAGAACTCGCTGAAGGCTTCTCCTGCCACGGGGATACTTTGGGCAAACTCTTCAGCCGACAGCTGTTTGTAAACGACTTTCTTTCCAGTAGCCTGAGATAGCGCAGCTGCGATCTCATCCAGACTATACAGTGCTTGAGCTGCAGAGAAAGTCTTTCCTTCATACTCGTAAGGGTTGGCGAGAATGGTTCCAATCCATTTCCCCGTATCCTTGGTTGCGTCAAAATAGGGGAGCTTGGTAGTTGACGAGCAGGAGCGAGAAATAACCCACGTGCCGTCGGGCCCTGGCTGCGGTCCCAGGAAGGGGTGCTGATGAAAATTCTCCATGAAGAATCCGCCAGCAAAGAAGGCACTCTTGATGTTGAGGCTGCGGACATAACTCTCGGCCTTGGCCTTGGCGTCGAAAAAGGTGATCTTGGTGCATTTTCCACCTGACAGCTGGCTGATGCTGGGAAGGGTGCTGTAGATAAGATATGTAGCACCTTGTTGAACTGCAGCATCTGCAATGGCCTTGACGATATTGACTTCTGTTTCCTCGGGATTGGCGCCAAAACTAGGAGGCGTCATGATGAAGACAGTGTGGGCTCCAGTGAGTGCTGAGCCCAGGGATTCCTTGTCAGATGTGTCTCCGTAAATGACCTCCACCTTGTCTTTGAGCTGCTTGGCTTTGTCCGAGTTGACATCGCGAGTGATGGCTCGGATTTTGTATTCTGCAGAGAGCTCTTGGTCATTCAGAACATTACTGATGACAGAGCTCCCTTGGTGACCGGTAGCACCGAATACAACCAGAATCTTGGGCATGGTGGATGAACAATTGGGATAGAAGAGGAAGAATGATAGGGTTTAAGCTTGGTATTCATTTCACAAGAGAGAGAGGAATGGCGAGCAATTTATAGTCGGGCTCTGGGCAAGAAACCGGGCCTGATTGCTGGGCCAAAACGTGAGCTTTGCACCGGTAATATAGTGCGCCGTCCGTGGGATGACTCCGTGGGCCGCTCCGTGGGCAAACCCGTACCGCGGCCGATTGCTCCGAGTTGCCACAGTGAAGAGAACAAGACCAGATCATTAACCCTTATTTCCGCGAGGTAGAAAAAAAAGGGTTTACATCTACGGATGCTAGCAAGGCTGGCCATTTTGTCGCAGTAGACTTTGTACTATGAATGGAAGCAGAATAGATTAACCCCTCTGGGCGTATATCGATTTGACTTTGCCTCGCCAGGAGGCAGAAGTGGTAAATAATATTAACATTTAGACCTTGTGCTCATTGTGTCTAGATGAGACGCATATGCAATGTTTCCTAGCTTGTCGCTGTCACCGAACAAAGGATATTAGTATAAATTTTCTTAATACACTGAATGTAAGCAGGTCACTAAGAATACTATTGGACCATGACAGAAATGAATCATCATTGAATCAACAGATTAGGCTCCCAAGACAGTCCATCAGTTGATTGGATGGATCACCTCGGGAACTTGTGCTGACCCGATAAAGCGGGGATGATCTTACCAAAACAAGCTGACGCTCGGCCATCCTCCTCAAAGTATCTTCATTAGCTCAAACCATCGTTTGGGTAAGATTATAATGGCCAGCATGGGCTGATCATTGCTCCCAATGCAGAACCATAGAACTTTCTGGATAACTCTTGCATCTCGTGGAATCTCTAGATGGAAGAGTATATAGGTTCCGGGTGATGTCTGGTGTTGGAGCAAGAATCAGACACACATTCACCACTGCTCAATAGTAACATATCAACCAATATTTCCACCTTGATCAATTTCATCATAAAATGACTACCTCTGGATTCGGAACCCTTCCCTCTGGCGTGAGCCTCGATATCAAGCCATTCCGCGCTCATGTTGAGGAGGAGAAGCTCCAGCAATTCAAGAAGCTCCTGGAGCTATCGCCAATTGCCCCGGCCGTGTTCGAAAATACCAACGCAGGCACAAAGTTTGGACTCACAAGAGACTGGCTTGAGAATGCCAAGGACGTCTGGTTGAATTCTTTCGACTGGCGCAAGGTTGAAGATCGTTTCAATTCATTTCCCAACTTCAAGGCTCCGGTCAAGGATGGCAACGGCGACGAAATCGAAATCCAGTTCTTGGCTCTCTTTTCCAAGAAGCCAGATGCCATCCCCCTGGTATTTCTTCATGGCTGGCCTGGATCCATCTGCGAGTTCTTGGATATTCTCGATCTTCTGAAGAGCAAGTACTCCCCGGATGACCTGCCTTATCATGTCATTGTGCCATCGCTCCCCGGCTATGGCTATTCTTCCGGGCCACCACTCGACGCTGATTACGGAATCGAGGCGGCAGCGGGAGCGATCCACAATCTCATGGTCGGATTGGGATTCGGTTCTGGGTATATTGCTCAGGGCGGCGATCTTGGAAGCTTCTTCTGCAGGGTGCTGGCTCTCAAATATGATGCCTGCAAGGGCATCCATGTGAACCAGATGCCATTGCCTCCACTTCCCAAGGGAGGCGAGCTCCCCACAGATCCGCTGCAGATAAGGGCACTGGAAAGGGGGAAGGAGATGGTCGAAACCGGGCTTGCGTTCTTGATGGAGCACGGTACACGGGCGGCCACAATAGGATTTGTGCTAAGTGCTAGCCCGCTGGCACTGCTCTCTTGGTAAGATCATACTCGTTGGCACCGCTTACCTGCCTGCCTGCTAACGTCGTCCTAGGATTGGAGAAAAGTTCCTTGCGTGGTCTGATCAAGATCTTCCTCTCGACAAAATTCTCGAAGGTGTCACATTCTATTGGTTCACGGACACGATGGCTAGGTGCCTGTACCACAACCGCGATGTAAGTAAGGCCATCGGTCCATTACTAGTCCACTTAGGCTGACTATTTATGTTCAGATGGGACTTCCCGATGAAAGCCCAAAAATTGCGAGGACAAGTGTGGTAAGTCCGAGACTAAATCACCCCTTCCAAGAAGTAGAGTGGGAACTGACTTCTAAACACTCAGATCACTGGTCTCATTTCCCCGGGAGTGCCGTATATCGACAAACCATGCGGATACTCGGCTTTCTATAATGAGATAGTTCCTGTGCCTAAGGATTGGGCCGACAAAACCACCAATGTCGTGTCATTCAATCAACATGATCGCGGTGGCCATTTTGCTGTGAGTAATCCCGACCTCTATTTTGTCTCCGTGATGCTAATCGTCTATAGGCCATGGAAATGCCCAAGGAGCTCCTATCCGATGTCGAGGAGTACATCCAAAAAGTCTGGAAGTAGCGGCTCGTAAGCGAGTTCGCATCGCGTACCAGCCTTGCAACTAGCGGCACCTCTGGTTCGAGATTTTGAAACACAGTTGTTGAACGGCGTACCCTAACTTTCTTATTCTTACTTCATGGTGATCTTCAAGTCAATAGCCGGAGTACCTTTAACGGTTGTTGAAGGCTTACTTGCAGCTTGAAGAAGCGGAATTGGTGAAAAGGGTCTTCTAGCTGGGCACGGCTAAGGAAAGGATCTCGAGGGTGACAGGATTTGTCGATTATAGAACTCATGTATCTTAATCTGTTTTGGATCCGCGAGTTAAGCTGCCACGAGTGAACCCTTATGGTAGCTCTACAATCTCGCTGGGGCAATCTCTTCTTTCTGTGTTATGTGTAAAGCTAGGGGATCTTGGGGTTATCTTCAATGAGAAAAATGTGCGACAGCTGTTCAAGGCAAAGCATACTTTGCATCTGAGTGATCAAGGCTTTTGATTGCGCTAATCACTTCCACTTGGCTGCTCGGATGGCATCGATATGAAAACAACACATAAGATTGTATTTATCCATCGTGCAGGGATTACTCTAACAAAAATTTAGTAAGGGTCTTATTTGAGTTTCCAGGAGCTAAACTAACATCTTTTAGTCGCCCGAGGATGGTAAAAAATCCTGCAGCTTGAGGCACCTAGCTTGAAGACTTGAATTTATAGGATGCCTTTATAAATGACAGATCTACTAGACTGAGATGAATATCTAATAGTCTACCGATTCAACGAGACGGGCTCCTTAAAAATGTTGGCCTTAAGTCATCTGCCATGAATCGAATCCTCTGTCTGCAAGAACGGCTCAATGCCGCCCCATAGGAGTTATCGAGTAGGGGGTGATCTTCTGAAATGATAGCCAAAAGCTTCTCTCCAGCCGTTCTGTCGCCAGTTGTGCTTGGAAGAGGAACGCAAGACCAGTCGGCCTTGCTACTCTCCGAAACCATCTCCAAACAGTCCACAGTTGCACTCGCGGCGTCCACGATATCGCGACTAGTAGTTGCCTCACTCTTGTAATCAAGTAATTCATGTATGAAACGGCTGGCATGTTCCCGGACTAATACAAGCGCCGTGTCTGTTGACTTAGCTATGGCCTGGAGAGCTCCCATATTACAGTTATGGATGGCAAGATTAAGGTAGGCATATACAATTTCAGATGGATGATCTCGAAGAGGCTGGCTCTCTAGCATGAGATCCACAATGTCTGAGGCTGCCCTTCCTTGTGATATGGCGAGGCCAAGGTGCGTCATACTCTCCTCCGGCGGCTCGGGAAGTTGCAGAGTGGCAGCGTTGCGAATTTGGTCCGCCTGAAACTTCCGTTGGTTTTGAGTGGGACGAGATCCCGCTGCGTAACGGACATGGACGAAAGGCAACGAGAAGATTCGTGGGCTAATATACCTTGGGCCAGCGTTCTCATAAATGGAGACTCCCGCATCGAGCAAGCAGCGGGTGTATGCTCTTTTGTTCTCCTGGCTGAGTAACTTGTTCTCAAGCACAGACCTGAGTATTGTCCTTTCTTGTTCAGATTTCTGATTCGGATCGGCTCCTTTTGCTAGCAGGTTCCGTATTACGACGGGGCTAGCACCGTATTCTATTGCATCTCGGAGGAGGGACGTACCGATCAGAGGTGCATCTTGGTTTAATAATTTCAGGACAACGGCATTTCGAACGCTCATTTTGTTACCCTCAGCCATTCCAGATACTTGCACCGCAAGTGCTGAGGTATCCACATGCGAAATCACACCAGAGGTATCTAAATCAAGAATGAGCGCCGTAATTTCTGGATGTAACGCATCGAGAGGCCTAGACATTTTCCAGAACCCCACGAGGTCATCTGTTCCTAAACGGCTTGTTTGGCACCGGGCAAGCAGACTCTTGAACCTTTGAACCTCCTTCCGGAAAAGTAGAGACTCAAGAGGCGTATAGTGGGTACTGTCACCAGATGATGTGCCGCGCAGTACGCCTGCGCCTTTCTCCATGAGCAGATCGATCATTACCTCTTGTTGCTGGCAGGTCCTGACAGGGTTGGGTTCTTTGGTCCATAAGGGCGGGCATGAGGTAGCATAAGGTCGGTGCACAGAGGCGCCGGAATCGAGAAGAAGAGATGCCATATCCGAGTTCGCTCTGGAAGGAGTGCAGGCCCTTCCAAGGGGCGTGAAGACTAGACCAGGCTTTCCATCGACGCTCGCGCCGAGCTTAATTAGATGCCTAGCTGCCAGTATATTGCCGCACTCAGCTGCAGCTGAAAGAGGCGTGTACTCGCGGCAGATGTCCTGAATATCAAGGCCCAAACTCATGAGATTCTTTATGAGTGCCAGTGCATGGCGCTGATCACTGATGAAGTCACTGCAGTCGTTGAGTCTCCTTTCGTCATCATCATCGCCCCAAGACCAAGAGTCATTCCCGCTCCAAGGAACCTGGCACAGAAGGTTTAGCAATGAAACATCGTCTTTATAAATCGGTAGATCCGGGTTGACTCCAGTATCCAGGAGATCGAGAGCGTCCTTGAACCGGCCAGAGTATATTGCGTCGTATAACATTTGCTGAAGAGGATCTTCATCCGGATTATCCTCTAGACCCTCCCAAACGACTACAGAGTTAACATCTGCCCCGTATGAAATCATGAGTCGGAAGCAATCCCAGTTCCGGTAGAGGCTTGCGTAATCGAGGGGGGCCTTTCCGCGACTATCAAATGCGTCCAGTTCGGTGTCGTATCCCATTTCCACGGCCCATTTCAAGGCTGAAGCATGGTTTGTCATACATGCTACATGAAGGATCCCCATCTGACCCTCAACATCCAAGATTGGCGGCGCGCCCTTTAAAAGCAGAAACTCTGCAGCTTCCATGTTATCAGAGTATATGGCCAGGCACAGTGGCGTCCACCGTGGCTCAAATATGTGGTTTCCAAGCATCTTGGAGGGATGGAGACGCTGGTCAAGCACGATCATTGGCTTCTCGTGGTGGCACATACCCGAAGTTCCAGTGCAGATTTCAGAGCCATGTTCTAGCAACAACTCAAGTATGTTCAGGTCGCCTCGGAGTGCCGCAACGTGGAGTGGTCTCCAATTCAAGACTGCCTCTTTTAGGGAATGGCCGCCGGCGTAATTTTCCGAGCCACAATGTGGTTCATTTTTGTATATGAACGCATGATAAGACTCTAAAGGTACTGCAATATTTGGGCTGATGCCGGCGTTTAACGCAGATTCAACTGTGCGGGAGATGCTCATAGCAACACCCCAGAACAGGGCTTTTCGTGAATATTCTGGTGATAGTGCCGCGCAACGATAAAGAAGCGGGTTGCAGAGGTTATGAACTGTCTTGCAGGTCCTTGAAAGTGAAAGTACATCTTGGAGGGAATTCGAACTGTAATCTGCAATCGATAACCATATCTCAGTAGGGAGCGATGGAAGTGGCCGACAGATTGATGGCATGTTTTCGACTGACCGAGCTGTTCGCTCTCAGCAATGTTGAAGGGTGAGATGAGTGTCGCTTGGTCCGACACAAGAACTTGAATTGTTACCTCGTTACATAGATTAGTAAGCGACAGATCCTCGTCCCAGCCACCCTGATTGAGCTCAAGTCATAATAAGCTGGGTTATGAATTGGTCAGCTTGGGAGAGATATAATTTTTGAGAGTCTGTGGTCAATTACCAACCGGTCTTCTATGCAGCGAACATCGGCCGGGTGGATTACGTACGGCACTCACGTAGTTTGGACAAGAACCACAGCGTGTCGTCTTGATGCCAGGGACACATCTCATTTCTTTGGTTAAACATCCAAGGGTCACTCAAAGTAATGATCAACAGGGGAGGTTAAATATACGAATCTCATTGATAACCATAAGTTCATCTCTATAGTGTTTCCGGGAAAAATCATGACACTGGGGTGGTAAGTTGCGTCCCCTTGGCTTGGCCTCTGCATCAGTAGGAACATCATCTGACCCGCCTGTTTAGTAGCTCATGCATATTCCTCATCCTCAACCTGGCCCTCGTCATACGACTGTCAAATCGGCAGTGCCGATTGCGGCAATACATGCTGATCATCCGAATCCATAAACGGATCATCCTCCTGAGCTACCTCCTGCGGTGGCGGCAGGTGGCTGCTGGCCAGAGCCAACTATATTATCCCTGAATGCTTGTAGCAGGTGAAGCTCGTGTCGATAGGCATCTCGGAGACAAATACCCACCAGGGTAGGAGCATCCAGTGGTACTTTCATGCGTTCGTTGAACTGCAGCCATGATCTGCGAGTAGCCTCTCTACTTTGCGGGATTTCGCTCACCATGTCTGCCGCTGCATAGACGTGTTCCAGGTTCTGGGCCTCTACATAGAACAGGTGCCGAGGGTCTCTGCCTTGCGGGTCACGTAGACGTTTGGGTCGGGGCATTCGGCGTTCCACTTCTTCTCCTAGCCTTAGCAAGAATCTGGCCTCGATTGATATGACGCCGTCGAATCGTAGGAATAGGTCATGAAATCCACGAATCCTTTCATAGAGACTCATCGGAGTGCGGGTTGTAATGCGGCCGCCTGCACCACCCACAGGCCGTGTGTCCCCAACAGACCTGTTCATGTCCTCGCTCAGTATGTGGAGGACAGGACACATGACCCCCGTTTCCCCTACTAGCGTGGAAATGCTCCAGACTGGGTTTTCGAGAGACTCAAATGCGACAGCAAATTGAAGTGACAGTCTAAGGAACGCGCTGTTCCCTCGTGAAGAGAAGAATGGGTGGAGCATGAGGTCGTTGAGACCATCTACAAAGTGAAGCCTCCAGAGCGGCGGCGCTATCATGTCCATGGCCTGTTGTTCTTGCTCAGTTTCTCCCCATCTTCCAGGACAACAGAGGCCACGATGGGGTGACATAAGCCATATCGGAGTTTCTCGGTAGACCACAATGCTGCTTTTCTAAAGCTTGCAGATCGCTTCAACAATAGCAGAATCTAACCCGGAAAAGAGCGCCTCGCACCTCTGCAGAGATTCTGACACTTCTGGACGCGCATCGTAGCTTGCCTTTACGGTGAGTGTAATGCTAGCAATTTGAGTTGGTGAGAGATAATTTGGAAGATCGCTCAGGTCCACATACGGGGCGTCCGCGAGGACCTGGTCGAGTGTTTTGCCCATGATATCACTTGTTTTCGCTGGCAGTGTTTTGTTGTTGTTATGATGAGGAAGCTGAAAAGTTGTCAAGAACAAGCGACGGAGGTGCGGCCACAATGGAAGGTGCCTCTCGCCACACCATAACAACTGAGCCAGAGAAAGAAGGTGTTGGTAGCCCATTGAAAGATCAACCGCTACTGAAATCCAATCTCGTCTTCCTCTTGAAACAAAACCCTCTCAATCACAACAACTGTGATCGATACGTTGAAACCTTCAGTGCTATATCTGAAGATATCGCGTGGGAAGTAAGTAATACACAAGCTCTCTACGAGCATCGCATTCTCAAGTCCTTGTGGTATCAGGCTATTCGTGCGATCAAATATTGTAATGGTAGTGCATAATAAACGATATTACCTGCACTCAATAATGACTCATGCATAGTTGTTGTGATATTCTCGTCTTTGAATAATGGGCATGGCCTAATCTCCTTGTGATGACATGCTGGGCAACCTTCAGTCCCATCCTCACTAAGTGCATCCAAGATTAGCTACAAAGAGAAACGGTTTAGAAATAGTTGAAGGTATCTCAAGCCCAACTATCCAGATCAAAGATTCCTGGAAACGCGATTAACTCGTCAGTGCTCATTCCGGCGGTCTCCACGCCAGTCTCGTCGCCGACGTACATTTGGCCTGCCGCAAATGGGAGCTCAAACGATCCTGGTGCTGGTGAGACATTGAGGAGCTGCCGGTTGGTGGCCAAGGCTTGCTGATCTCGGCGAGCTATTGAAGGTGTTGCGCGCCGAGATACGAGCTGTGATGGCGGTTGGTCATCGTTCCCCCTCAGTCGAGGAAAGTCCTCACTGATAATCTCCTCGATCATACGCATAATAGGGCGGTGAACGACAAGTCGCTTCACCTGCGGTAGTTTCTCACGAATTGCTGTAGCAGACGCCTCCGAGATGCGAGTTGGCGGCCGGCTCGGCCTGTCGACTAATGGAATCTCTCGAGCGAGGAGCTCAAATACATCCCGAAGACAATCTGCCCTAGGCCAACGATCCGTCATAATGGCCAGTATATTTGAACATGCCCGGAGCGCATCAGAGACATCGGGGGAGTCATAATTCTCAGTTCGATATTCTGGAGGCGTGGCCCAGCAACAGTAAAGCAGGGTCACTCCAGATTGAAATTGAACCAAAAGCTGCTCACAGAGGTTAGAGAGAAAAAGGTCATCGATGCAGCTAGAGGTAAACTTACTCCTACCCAACCCTGGGCAATTTGGCGGTCCATTTGGCTTTTACGAAAAGCAAGACTCGCCTGGCTGCTGGCTTGTATCGACCAGTCCCCGGCAGCCCCTAGCACGGTCTCTTTTGTTGGACGGTACAATGTGAGGAGGGTGTAGTGATATATCATGGCAAGCCACCGATGAGAAGTGTGTCCTTTGGACAGTGGGTCGGAAAAGTTCTGAACGCGAGACTTGTAGGTTTCAAGTTCACTTAAGATACGTATTCGCCACTCTGTGGCCTCTTCGTAACGCTCTTTATAGTCCCATCGTAGAGTATATCCAGAGATTTCTGACTGAATCCTGCGACACTGGAGAATATGTAAGGACGAAGATACGCAGGTATATGTAGGCGAATCTGGCAATTCGTTTTCGGCTGGCGTTTGCGCAGCTGTAGCCTCTAGGTCTTCGTCATTTATGTTGGAAAACAACTTGGTTGTGATCATCAAATCCGAAATAGACGGGGGTAGTTCGAAGGACGCCACGATCATTCGGTCCAAGCAATAGGCGGACCAGAAGCATCGGCGTCGGAGCTGGTTCTGTAATCGAATCTCGGGGGTGGTCGGCACCGGCTCTGCCTCATCAAGATGGAACTGATTCTGGATGCAATAACGCATCGTCGTCGAGACAAGGGATAGAATACGCGGGGTAGAGCTTCTGTGTAGCGCGTGTGCACTAAGCAACAAGTAAGCCTGAGCGTGTAAAATAGGTGAATGTTGACGAAAGACATGAGGCAATAAGGAGATGCCATTCTTATAGAAGGTTCTTGCGTCCGTTCCGATCCTCGGGAGGGCGAGGACCAGAAGCGCAGTTGAGTAGACGAGATTGGCAAAGAAGCCTTGCCAGGACTGAGCTTCTCTGTCAGCTGGTGAGCAGGTCTTCCAATCTTCCAGCCATGACAAGAATGTGTCCCAATGGAGAAACGGATACGTCGCCTGGATGCGCCCGCGGTATGCGCCAAGAAGCATATCTTCCACCTCCCGGGGCATGGCAGCGATGAATACCTGAGGGAGGAAGTCACCCTCGCGGAACGACGTGGCTGGAAAGCCCGGCGACTTGCCAGGCGCGTTATGGCCCTCATCTCGCACCGACGGGGATGTCACAAGGCCGTAGATGAGATGGCCGAGGTCCTCGTCGGAGTCATCGTCTCCCGTGAGAGAGAAGGCATCGCCAGGCGACCGGTGAATATGGCTTCGTCGCGTCTGCGATTGGTTGACTGGAGACAGTGAATGTGCATCACCGCCAGAAGCTGAAAAGTCGATGGCTTCAGATCGTCTCCTCTGGCCAACCGCCTCGTGATGCGTCAACACCGGTCGCCCGTTTGTGCTGTGCGCGCTGCTCTGGGTGAGCCGACGAAGAGGCGGAGGCGGTGTCTGTCCTCCATTTCCATTTCCATTCCCATTGACAAGGATGGAGTTGGCGACCAGATGATCCTGACTTTGATGGGGGTCCCGAGCCTCAAGCTCCGCGATTCTTTCCTCCAGCGCCCTGACATACTCGGGCTCCGAATTGGACCGCGGCGCCGGAGCTGTTGGAACGCATTCGTCCCCCGACTTGACGCAATTCGTGCAGGGCCGGCTCCCCTCACACTTTTGCTTGCGGTTTCGGCATCGCCTGGAGGTTGACGTGAGGATGAGACTCTGAGAGTGAGATTGGGTTGACAGATCCGATTTACCTGCAGGCGAGAACGCGCTGTTTCTTCGTCGGAGGCTCGTCAGAAGACGACCGTTCGTGATCCATCGAGGCTGATGGTACACATTCTATCACCGAGATGTACGAAGCGCACACCTAGTCTGGTAGCAGGCAGAGGAGCGGGGTGAGACAATCCAATCGCTGCATAAGAATCACGGTTAGTGACGAAACGGAGGGCAGAAGGACTTGTCATGTCAGTGGCAAGGATTGGAAAGTGGGAAAACGCGGGGATGATGGCGCAGTTTACCACCCACTCGCCTCTGCTTGGAGCCCTGCGGTGGATATGGACACCCGCTATTTCTTGGAATGGGCAAGCCGTATCTGACTAGGCCTGGGGTCATTCTTAGGCCCCATGGACAGGCAGATGATGCTGATAAGGAAATGGTTCTGACTAGCCAAGTCGTTGGACAGAAAACAGGGGGTAAGACCACCAACCAACATTATCTTCCGGTGTCGGTTCACGCAATACACGACATAATGTCAGGATCATACGTAGTGCACACAATTATTGTGCATATTTTTATGTGGTTATTGAGATTGATTGAAAAATACCAAGCTTCCAGCACACACGCTTAGTTCACGTGGTGGTGTCCCTTTTAATGTCACCCACTTGGAGCTCACTTGCCTATCAACTGTCTCCGAATTATCTCCATATGCCCCAGTCAGTCTGGCGGATGAATCGTTCTTCAGTTGGAGGTGTCCACAAGTTCAACGTTTCTTATCTCACATATAGAACTCCCCATAATATCAACCATGCCATCATATTTGTCCAATGCCTATGTAATACTCTTCTGGTGTACACTCACTGCTTCTCCACAATCTTCTCCCCGCCTACAGTCTCGTAGAATGAGTCTAATAGATACCCGCCACACCAGCTGAGCTTCTCGAAACCGTCCGCCATGGGAGTCCGTGCTAGAGCCGGCGTCTGGACCTCTCTCACATACCCGCCAATGGCCTCGGACGCCCACAGCTTGCCAAAGTCATCCGTCGCCATCAACAGCCCCTGCAAGCTCCAGATTGGCTGGACCTGCCATACGATGCCCATCTTGGCCATGTCCAGGTGCAGCGTCTTGACCTGCTCAGGCGAGAAGCCTGCCTTTCCGAAGTCGTAGTCGCCAGTGTAGCCAAAGGCGAAGAGACGGTCAGGATGCACCTTTCGCACCGCGGTGTGGAATTCGACAATGTCGTCCCAGTTTGGCGCATCCATTCGCGCCCAGGTCACGTCGCCAAGAGGGGCCACGGCGAGCGCGCGCTCGATGATAGCCTTGACGCACGACTTGAAGAAGTACTGGCCCATTGCGGACCTGGGAATGTCCCAATCGAAGAAGACGGCTTGCTTCACTGCCCTTGCGGCAATCTCGCGGCGAGAAGTGAGCGAGCGGAATTGGGTCTGCCTGACCTCAGTGATATAGGCGTCGTACTCGCTGTCTGTGGCGACATCCTTGACGGCTTCGTCAAATGTCCGCAAAACAGCTCGGGATTTCCAATCGTTTCGAGCCGCCTTGAGATCTTCGCCATTGGCCTGGGCCTTGGCAAGACACTCCTTGAGAGGTTCGACGCTCTTGGTGGCTCCCTGAACGTACTCGTGATCTCTCTCGTCAATCACGCTGGTGATAAACTCAGAGTGGTCAGTGTCGCACCGCGTAAGCAACAGTGTCTCTGCACCCATAATATCAAATTGCATGCGGACTGCTCCGAGTCGGTCAATGTACTCGCTTGTAGGTACGACGGTACGACCTTGTCCGATGGTAAACTTCTTCATTCCAATAGCGAGGTCATCGAGATGGATCATGGCCACCCCAGCGTCCACAAACTCCTTGGCCATCTTCATGGTCGAAGTAAGTGACCCGAAGCCCTATTAATAGTGTCAGCATCAGCAAGAACTGATTCAAGGGACAAAGGGGCAAAGCGGGTAGGTCGCTTATACATACCATGTCACCATCCGCGATAACGGGAGCGAGGTAGTCCCAATTCTCCAGATTGGCGCGATCCTTTTGCGCGTGCCGTAGTCGGAACTGGCGCTGTCTCTGATCGTGCCATTGTTGTGATTTGGA